GGTCAGGATTGCGGCAACTGGTATGGGATCTGCGTCCCAATCCAGACCCCAAGTCGCGGTCTCCTCGATTTGCCGAAATTATCACTAACGTATAGCACAGACACCCTCCTTCGTATCATTGTGACCACCTCCTTGACGCTCCCATCGATGTGACTACCGCGTCAACCATCACAATGTATGTGGTGGTGTAAGGAAACACCCACATGTCACTCACACGAGCCGGCGAAGTTGCGTGCTACCGAAGCGGCAACTGACTTCAACGTCACTCATCCCTCCTCGACTGCCGTGTTGGGTCTGCTGGTTCGACCTGTGTGGAGACTGGACTGAGGGAGGGGAGTATGGTGGTGATTGCGCGTGTTCTCGCGTGGAGGTCGCAAGACCTGGCCACAAGCGAAGGCAAAAGACATAGTGTCCCGAAGGACGCGACGCGACGTGACGCGACGTGACGTGACGTGATGTGACGTAGCAGGAATGTATAGGAGGTGTGGCTTTGCCTCAGAGTTGGGGCTCGCAGTCCACCTGGTTTCTATGTTAGGCGGTGGAGGAGTGGAGGAGGCATTTGCGATAGTTGCGTACAGGTGTGGTTAGTGGGTGGAGAAGGTGACACTGGCAGATGCTTCACTGAGGGTGTGGCTTCAGGTGTTGAGAGATCTGCGAGAGAAGACGGGACTGGGATGGTAGAAGAAGGAAGATGTCACTTGTGGTCGTTTGGTTGGAGGAAGTCACCGATTCGCGCATCTGTAGCATGTGCACCTCGTTGGCGGCGATAAGGTTGATTGCCTTGCGGTAGAAAATCGAGGTGGGTGTCCTCTGAGGTGGGGTTTTACTTATCGTTGCCCCTGAAGTAGTGATTTGGGCCTTTTTGCGAGAACGAGAGAAAACGCAATAGTTAAGTAGAATATGAACTGCAGAATATGACAAGGACTGAGACCACAGGCATAAGTCAGAAGGAAATAGCGGATTTCATGGATGGCGTAATGGCTAACCTGGTAGAGAAGCTAATAGCCACACTTTGAAGGTTTATGTGTAAATGTATGCATCTTTCAAAACCCTCTAGCTTCCAATGCTTCCCATTTAGCCATATCTCTTTAGTAGCATTACTCATCAAGCTGTCAGCACGCCTTTTGCGATAATATCAGCTTACCCAAAGGACGATTTTCACTTACAACCTTCTTAGATCATTTTTGATTCCATTAAATCACTGAAACTCATTTGAATGTTTTATTAACTGTCACTCCAAGTATCGGCGCGGTGAACATTTGATCAGTAAGTGAGACCGTTTACTAGGGGATGGCCAAAACAATTGAATTAATTCACTGGGGCCTTTTCTCTGATGTGCTAAATGGACAGGTAAATAATCTAATTCATTTGTTTATGCTTCCCCTCTGTGTGAATGCCCTCACAAGTGTTTACACTGCTAATATACGCAACTGTATTTTTAATAAGCCAATGAAGATCGAAATTATTTCTAGCAAAAATTTAAACGGATATATATGCACTCAAAGGGCAGGGTTTCTGGGAGCAGAACAAGGAAAAAATAGCTAATTTTATGCCTAAAACTGTTATATTTCATAAATAGACCAAAACGGTTCAAAGGAATTGTCGGAATCCATTATGTTCGGCCATTGAGGAGATTTCGTTCTGATTTAATGAGCATAAAAAGTCGCCTCTTCTTGCAACTAAAGACCTTCATGGAAAAGTTCACCTAAACTGTAAAATGTATGCTATTCGCAGTGGTTTTGTTGCAAAAACTCGGTGAATATTCATGTCTGCTCTGCGTAGACATACATGAATCCTATGAAATTGTAAAGTAAAAATATTATGCCTGAAGTTGGCCTGAATACATTTCCTTAGGTTTGTGACTTGTGTAGGATTACCCTGATTCGCTAATCACAGTAAAGGGTAGCAGTCAACATTTATTTGGCCCTGTCTTTTTCTGGCTGATTCTTATCAAAAGAAGAATTCTCCGAATGACAAACCTTAACACTCAGGAATCATGAAGTCCTGTTTCCAAAAGTCAGGCTTTTGCACGGATTAATTGCATATCCTTCCTCTCACTTCTGTGGCTGAGAATACATACAGTTTTACAGTAACCAAAGTGATTCTGCTGTTGCCCTTACTATCAAACCTAATTTGAATCCTTTTCAGATGCTTCCTTCCAAACTTTTCATTGATAAGTCGTCGGTGAATCTGCCGAGGCGACATTAATTTACACAACTAATTAAAGACCCACAACCACTCCTGGAATGGACAAAAAGTAGTCCCCTTCATGTTGTTCCTTCTCGTTAGAGATAACATATCGAAACCCTCCGCCATCAACATCCAACCCGTGCCTCGAAAATTCGCCATCATTCTTCCACGAGAAAAGCGCCCTTGATTGCACTACGTACAAGCTTCTTGCAAAGCGCTCGCTCAATGCATTCGGCTGTTCTGGATTTTGTTCACAAACTTTAATTTTCTTACTCTAGTTATAGCGGGAGGAGTTTGTGGTGAGCGTAGTATGGTCAACGTCCGACGTTTTCAAATCGCCTTCATTAAGGAACCCATCAGAAGAAAATGTGGGAGATGAAGTGCAGAGTATGTGTATGTAGAAACCAAAGAAAAGCGTCATATATTCATCATTGAAGCGCGCATGTTAAGAGCACCCCTCCCCTACATAAGAAGGGCAATACTGAGTGCATTGAAGAACAATATGTACACAATGTCTGGTGGTGGGGAGAGGTCTTATGCACCGTGAGTTTCGGTGGGTGTGGGAGTGAGTGCAGTGATTACAATTTCCTCTAAACGATCAACTTGCATCGACTCATGTCACATGATTATGTTGTGGAGCTGTGGTTACGGGTGCTGAGGTTTGAACGCTTGTGGAAACACTTGGGCCTAGGTACTGATCACCCATGTACACTGTGGAGGAGTAAACATGGTGCAAAGGACCCGTTTGTGACTGAACAGATCGTGGGAGCGAAGGCTGCTGTCCAGTAGGAGGAGGAGGGATGTAGGTTGGAGCTGAGGGAGTAGAGACTCCAAGTGCATAGGCTGTGGCTGTGCTCTGGGAAGGTAGGGTGCTTCCGAACATCAACGGATAACCACCCAGTGCTGTGGACTGGGCGAAGGGAAAGAGAAATGGTTGCTGACTTGGGTGGCATGCGGCTGCAGCGGCTGCTGCAGCAGCAGCAGTTGCCAAATTATCACTGGGAGTCTCATACATAACCTGATTCGTTGAGGTTTCATTGTATACTGTTTCGTATGCACCACCCTGACCATTTGCGTTCTGCGAGGATGAGGTAGAATGCGAAGTAAAAGTGCCCGAATCTCGCTGTTTCGGTGGAACTCCAAGTCCTCCACCACCTCCCTGGTTCTGATGGCTCATTTGAGTATAGTCGGGAGGATAGCGGGATGCAGAAGCGAACTGAAGTTGAGGAAATTTGAGCAGCGATGACGACGCAGCTGAAGAAGAAGTTCCATCGGGAGTGCGCTTTGCGTTTTCATGGTGTCGTAGTATGGGATCTGATTGAGCTCGTAACTTCGATCTCCGGTAAACATAAAGTTTCGAAGTTCTGTAGGCGATTATGAACATAAGAATTGTGACTAGAAAAGTGCCCAACACTGCCCCAATCACATCCATCAAACTAAACCGTTTTGCTAGGATACTGTGTTCGGCAGGTCGCATGGGACCTATCAGACGATTGGATATATCCCTTGACACCGATCTCTCACTTGACAACTCCTCATTCGCAACTAATTGTGCATCTCCTGCTGAGTTCTTTTGAGGCCAATGGATACTAACAGTAACCGATGTGTTACCCAGTATATTCTGTCCCATACACGAGTACATGTCCGTTTCGGACACCCTCTTGACGGACAGTCGGCTTGTTATTTGTTTCAGCTGAGTAGGAGGAGGAGGAGGAGGAGGAGGAGGAGGAGGAGGA